CAAATTGGTGGAGATTCAGTGTAAAGTTTTTACAGTCAGTGATATACAGTATAGCACAGGGATGGGCAAACTTGATCCCTGAGGGCCAGTGTCCCTGCAGAGTTTTGTTCCAACACTAGTCAAACACACCTGAACGAACTAATCAGTGTTTTCAAGATCACTTAAACTCTATAATGAGGTCTGTTTGAATAGGGTTGGAGCTAAACTATGCAGGACACTGGCCCTCCAGGATCAAGTTTGCCCACACCTGGTATAGCAGGGTGTTTTAGAGCACTTCAGAATTTTTGTTGCTGACCAATTATTTGGAGATGCAGATTTAATTTTCCAACAGGACTTGGCATCTCCACAGTTTCAAAGCTACCAGTTTCTGGTTTAAGTACCATTGTGTCCCTGTTCTTAATTGGCCAGCAAACTTCTCACCCTAATCCCATAAAAAAAATCTATGGGGTATTATGAGTAGGAAGATACAGACCCAACAATGCAGAAGAGAAGGTTACTATCAGAGCAACCTGGGCTCTCACCTGAGCAGTGCTACAGACTGACTCCATGCCAAACCTCATTGCTGCAGTAATTCAGGCAAAAGGAACCCCAACTAAGTACTGAGTATTGTATGCATGCTCATACTTTTCATGTTCATACTTTTCAGTTGTGTGTGTGCATGTTTGTGTGTGTGTGTGTAAAGACATTCATATGTGAAAACATTAATAGTGTTTTTTTATGTATGTACAATAATGCCCATAATGCCAAGACAATTTTATCTATACATTATTTTGGATTTCTATTATTCAAATATACCAAAACATGTATGTTTGTCCCTAAATAGACACTTCAATGAAAAAGACATAAAAGTAGTACAGAGTCAGATCTTGATTTCTGAATTGTATTCCCTATTAACCCTCTTCTGTGACTTTTCACTCTATATCCAGTCAATAGGGAGATGAGTAGTCAATGGGCTGAGCCAGACATCTATCTGGTGCTGTAATAGACACTGATGGAGACAACTTGCCTGTAGATTTCAAACACGACTAAAGGGTTCAATTTTCTTGATCAGGTGTGTTGAATTAAAGTTGTAACTAAACTGTTCAGAGCTGCAGCCCTCCAGAAAAGTTTGACACCCCTTAGCCATACCAATATAGGATTCTTATTTCTCCTGACAAAAATGATCCATTTATAATATTTCAAACAACATTTAATCATCTGAAACGTGTACCATCATGACTGCAAAACGCTGTTAAAAGCCCTCTGTTAAAAGCTTCACAAACGAACAACATTGCACCACTGCATAGTCCATTTGAGTTAGGAAATAACACTACTGTACCAATAAGCATGCTTTTACCCTTGCCAGACATTTCAAAATATCACAGCCCTGCCATAATGTTTCAAATATTAAAGTCTCTGTAAACTTTTGCCTACAAAGCCAGCTGCACTAAAAGTGTCATTTGTCAAAAACTCTGTAGAACACCTTTCTGAATATTGTAGAAATTCAAACTAACTTGTTACTCACTATCTGATCTTAAAAGTCTTAGTGGATTGAATTTGAGGTAATAAAGTTGTTCCAACTGGCAGTTAAATCTCAGAACGATTGTTTGCACCGCCAACTTATCCAGCATATGTTTTATACAGCGGATGCCCTTCCAGTCACAACCCAACAATGGGAAACACCCACACACTCTTGCATTCACACACATACACTACAGGCAATTTTGCAGATTTTTTAATCATTTTAAATAATGAATGGATTAATGAATATTTAGTAATTTAATGAAAAGAAAGAAACTTATCAAAGAGAGCAGTGAACTGAAATGTTGTAATCCCAGATAATGTGACATTTAAGTTCTTTAAGTGACTTCAAAAACCACATTTGTTCAAAAACACATTTTAAACAAATTATTAACATTTAGACATCTGAGAGCAGCCTGAAAAAAGGCAGAGAACAAAAAGTCAATGTGATGATGTATAACACAGCGTTTCCCAACCCTGTTCCTAGAGGCACACCAACAGAACATATTTTGGATGTCTCCCTTATCTGACCCATTAAGAGTTTCTTCTTTTGTTTCGATGAGCTGATTCAGGTGTGTTTGATTAGGAAGAGGTTGAAAATGTGTACTGTTGGTGTGATTTTAGGAACAGGGTTGGGAAACACTGGTTTAACAAACACCACTTTAATTTACACAGAACAATGATAAAGCGCATCACATTACCTCGATGCAATGACTTAGAACATTTTCAAAGTTGAGACAGACAACTTTGAAAATATCATATGTATGATTTTTTTTTTATTAATCTTATTAAAGACAAATCTATCAAGAGTAATATCTGGCAGGATCAAGCTTTTTTGAAAATTGAGCAAACAGAGCCACCTAGTGGAAACTCGTGTAAAACGACTGCACAAATCAATGCAATTTTTTAAATTATCAATTAATGTGTTATAATTGTACAAAAGAACACAACTCCTTTTGACGTCCTGTTATAGCAGCTTAACATTATAATGCATTACGTTATAGGTATACAATCAAATTCAAAACCTCACTTTAACAGAGATTAAAAATATACTTGGATTTGCAAAATGAACTATAGCTGCAATTATGAAAGCGCTGCATTTACATATCAACATATCAATAATTAATTAACATAAATGCAGACAGCTCACTAAAAACAACAAAACTAGTTAAAACAACATTAGCCTGAACTCAGCAGATTTTAAAGGAAATCAATTCAAATTTATTCTCTAAATGCATTAATCTTCAGCATCTGCAAACTGCTCATCAACTATTGCATAAACACAGCGGACCCATTTTACAGGCTGAATGTGGTGGACTGCTGGGCTGTAGTGTCCCTGGACAGAGCTTGGGTCATTCTGGATGTTACAGTGGCAAATCTCCTTTATGTCCGTCATCAAAACATCTCTAGAATCTGTTGAAGAAAACAACTATGAAAATCACAGTTTAAATAGTTTCTTGCAAACCATTTTTTAAATAAAAAATCATTCACTTCAGTAAATGAAATTACCATAAGGAGGCTGTTTCTGCATTTCTATGGATTGTGAAATCTCTTCTAACTCCTTTTCCCAGTCCTCCTCCTGAACAGGACGCTGTGGTTGTACCGTGTGGTTCACTGTCCGACGAAAGGTTTTCTTTCCCTTTTTTTGCCTCCACTTGTTTGGGTGCATTTCTTCTTTTTTATTCACTTTAAAGTTGAGGCAAAAAGTCACAGTTATGTTCTTCTCCAAAGTGCTGTAGTATTTAAATGTATGAGTCAGCAACACGTAACATTCCATTCTCCATTCAGTGTTGGATATATAACTCAGCTTCATGATTGCATTTGTGAACATAGAGCCAAGTGCCAAAATTTTTAAACACAGCAATTTAGCTTTTAAGATTGTTTTCATTCGTTTCATTAACATTTTTGTTTTTCCCATATTAATATGTATTAGTTGTCCTCAACTTGCCAAGATATTTTTAAAATCACATATTTGTGACAGAAATTAATCTTGTCCCAAACAACCAAATGCAGCGCCGTGATAAACTAGTTCTGTATATCATGCTAACATTATGTCTAATTTGCATTTATCAACACGCGCGTTTATGAATGAACTACACACTACTGAGAGAGACTTACGGGTTTGACTTTTGTTCCAGTCAAACTACAGATGTTAATTGACTCCAAGACGATGGCTCTGTTGCGAGCAGCTACCCTGCTACCTGTTTTCACTCTGGTAAAATTACACTACAATGTAACTGAGGATGAGGATTCAGCGAACTGAACATAAAACTAATAAGGTGACTAGCGCCCTCTGGTGGCAAAGCCAAACATGATGGGCTGGAAGAAAACACGAGGTCACGAGGATTATTACAAAGACGCTAAATTAAGGTGGCTTGCTAAACACTCATTGTAACGTTACCATCCTAATTATCACTTGCAAATTAAGCTGATTGCAATATTACATGTAGTCAACTCAAGAAATCACACTCACGCTTCCATTTTCTCAGTGTCAGGTCAGGTGTTGCCCTGTGCTGTCTACGTTGAACTTTAATCAATTATACAGTCGATACTAAATTAAGAGAAACTGCAAGAACAATGAAAGGAATTTCGGCCGAACGTTACATTTTGAAATGCTCGACCCATTGTGAGTGTCAAAAGGCTTGGTTGTTGTTAGTTTGTTTTAATGTGTATTATCATGTTTCCTCTTGCCATACCCCACCGAGAGGTTCTGGTAAAATTCACATTTTGTATTTGGTTGTTTTGCTAACAGCAAGTAACTGTGTAATTACAACTTTTAAAATATTAATGTGCTTTTGGAAACTGTACTAAAATGCTTTTTAGCATGGATGTTTGATTAGCTACAAAGTACTCTGACAAGTATATTTAGTCGATTATTGTTTTCCCTATTCATTTTAGAAGAATCATTTCATCATGGTGTGTAGGAATAATGTTTTAGCATTATAAGGGGGAAAAATACACAATGTTTAGGTCCTGGTTTGTCGTACATACAAACAGTAATGTGTTAAATTAACATGGCCATATTAATACTTCAAATACCTTGCAGCCGGCCGGCGTCTCTGTTCTTCATTGTTGAAAAAGTGGTGGCGCGCAAACAAGTAGGCAGTGTAACTGTTAGCGCTCTCTGCTGGTGAACAATACTCCACTCACTACCCGATTTTGTTCTTGTTGCATCCCTTAAGTTACCTCTTTCTTACCATTATGTGAATTTAAATTTAAAAACGTGTGTGTGTGTGTGTGTGTGTGTGTGTATATATATATATATATATATATATATATATATATATATATAAAACGAATAAGCTAATTAAAATCTTAAATAAGTGTATTAAAATATATTTTGAAGTCAAAGAATTCAGACTCAAGTATTCAGAAAAAAGCCTTTATTATTATTATTATTATTATGAAATTGATGGAAGAATTGATCCCTTATTCAACAAGGACCTAGTGAAAATTAAAGATCAATGTGCTGTCTTTTTTTTTTGTTTGTTTTTTTTCCCCAAATTTCATAGTTTGTTGTAGACTGGCATTATCTGATGTGCATGTTTATTTATTTTTCCTAAATTACTCAAGATCTGCATAATAAACAAAATCATGTGTATGTTGCATCTACAATAATTAACTGTACTTCAGTTAGGAAGAACAAGTCCCTTTAAGGCCATTATGAAAACAATTCAGCGGATAAACAGACAAGTGCATTATTAGTATTATTATTAAGCCTGTAAATAACCTGAAATACTACTTATTTGGTACATTCACAATGACAGTTCACATTCAGTCTTCCGCTTTTTAAAGGCCAGATAATATCAGAATAAACATCTCAACATTGCATTGCAAACATAACAATGGGCACTCATTGCATTGCTCTAAAACAGATTCTTTTACCACAGGCAGTGTTATCAAGTACCAGTTTCGATCACCTATCAGATCGTATTTTTCTCTAATTTCCTTTACTTCACATATCATAAAATAGGAAGATGGTCAAAAATACTTCTCTCACCAAAATAACTGCATGTTCACTTATAAAAACCTCTTTCATTTCTTCATACACAGCAACTCTGAAAGTCATATGGTTCTTTCTTTGTTATGTAGTCTCATTACATCCCAGTGCAAACATAGCTAACAATGATTCATACAACACAAACATACTCGATGAGCACCCAGTGCTAAAACAGTCACATGTAAGTTGGTGCAATTGATTAACCATAATGTTATTTGAGTGAAATCCCTCTTGAGCAGCAAAAATGCCCCTTAAAAGTGCTTGAAATATTTCATCACTGTATATACATTTTCTTTCATTTGTGTAATGTGGAAAAGGTGCACAAACACCATCACGTTGTAGTTACTGTGCAATCAGAGGCATTGGAGATCATTTCCTTCCTTGGGAGGAGCTCTAAGTCCATGGCTGCTTTTAAACAGTTCATAACACACGTTTAGTTTTTAATTTCCAGAATAGATGGATTGTGGTCCAAAATTGACAAAATGATCTTGTCCATGTATTGCCTGAGACGGAGGTTTATCTCCTCTTGTTGCTTGAGGGCTTCCAATAACTGCGAGAAAGGAAAAAGTTTTAGAATTATATTGGAGTTGTTTAGACAGACTCAGAACATGTCAATGCATTTTGAGCTTCCAATTAAACCTCAACACAAATTGGAAAAAAAAAAAGTTAGGAGTATTGAGAATTGTTGATGAGGCAAAGATTGTGTGTACTAATTTCGGTCCTATCCATATGCAAATCTGGCTTAAGAAAAAGTCATGGAAACACTGGCCATCCTGCTTTCTTTCTCCATTGGCATTTCTTTATAGAAATAAATTCATTAAAGCTGGGAAGACACAGCAAGTAAAATGACATTTTATTTATTTTTTGACTATTCCTTTGAGTTACTCACAAAGGTCTCTCATTTTTTAGGGCAATATGATCTTTTTCAGAGACTATTCCAGAAAACAACAGACAGATATAGTCTTTTATTTACAGGTGCGCATTCAAGTATCGTAACTATTAACCAATATCTTTTAGCATGATCCAATTTCATCAGTAGATCAAAGTCATGTTCTCTATCCCCTTTACAGAACAAAGTCCTTTACTTCCCTTACCTGGTCACGGGATGCATGATCAATCTCCATAGCCAGAGACTGTGCTTTTGTTTGTGTGGCAAACAGGTTCTTGGCCTCATGGAGACTCAGACTGAGAAGTTGACCATTTAGATCTTCATTCTGTTCCCTCAGTTTCTGGTTGTCCTGTCAAAAGAAAGCATGAGAAGAGATTTACCCTAAAAAGATGGGCTATAACAGTTAACCTGCTTTCTTTTATGTTGCGACCTACTTGTAACTGAAAGAAGAAAATTTGGTTAGATAGAAAGCATATGATGGACAGATGAATGCATTTGGGCTTGAGATTATTTGCTTGATGTAAATTGCTGCTAAACCATTATTTATTTATTTATTTTCCCAATAATGCAACAGCTCCATTTAGAACCTCTGATTTACTTGTGTAATCTTCTACTTTTCAGAGGAAGATGGAACTACAAAATCTGTAACCTACAAAAAGTGTGGCTATGTTGGATGGGAAGACAAATCTAAAAACATACTTCTCACATATAAACAAATTAGTAGTTCAAATGAGGGTATTAAATCTGCACATGAGTTACAGTCACGAGTCCTGTCTTAGCAGACAAAAGCTGCTGGAGGTCAAAGGACATGTTCCAGGAAATGCGTCTCTGTATGTACGCAAAGAAATATGAATAAGAACGGTTTTTATCACTTTTTAGTTAGATTACATCCAGATTTAAGGGGTTAAAAAGTAACCATTGATTATACACAAATAGAAATAAAACAAAGTTAAAAAAAAGTGTTAGTTGCATAATTGCAAAAGAACATATGAAATTGAACACATGACTATGCAAGTTAAATAAAAAAATGTCTAGAAACTCTGCTTGTCCATCTCTCTCACCTGTTTGAGTCTCCTGACCTCCTGTTCCAACTCACTCTCACGTGTTCGGCTGCTGTATTCAGATAGACTAATGGAAGATCTGCGACCACGTCCAGCTCGTTCTGCCTCCAGCTTGTATAACTGAAGGTGCTCCAGCTCTCGCCGAAGATCCTCGATGAGCTGAACAAAGCAAAAGGATCCAAAAATACACTTTTGAAACCACTAAATACCAGAATAATGTTTTTAGGGACAGGTAGAAAAACACATTCAAGTAATTGATATCTAAATTAATAATATTGTGTTTGTGTAACTTCTTTTGTGTAATATTATGTTTGTGCAACTGTGCTTTTACTTTTATGTTAGTACATTTAAACGATCCAGAATTCAGTTTTTTTTTTAAATATGCACTCAAGCCTGAAGACAACTAAAGCCTGGCGCTCTTATTCTAAACTTGAATACTTTTAGATATCTTGCTAAATATTGTGATTGTGCTCACCAAATCTGGGGCTTTACAATCAATTAACTAAAGAACTATAATAAACACACTTGTCATTACTAGGTTTGCATGATTATTTCATATATAGAGATTTTTTATGTCACATTTTAGCACATGGGCTTACTTCCTGCATGGTATCTCTTTCCCTTTGAAATTCCTGTCTATTCTGCCGTAGCTTGTCCATCATCTTCTTGTACAGGTCCATCTCATCCTTCAACCGCAGGCTTGTGTCCTCCAGCTTATCAGTCATCCGCTGCTTCTCCTTCATATTTCCAAACATATTTCATACAATTTAAATGACTGTTTTTGCTATTTTTACCCTACTTATTACTGCGAAGTGCAAGCAGTTTGGATAATAGTCTATAAAGCACAATTTAAAATCAATATTTGGGAAACAGAAAATTAAGTCAAATATTCTTCAGATTCTAACCAACATGTAAATATTTTTGTATTCTCTTTTGTAACACCCCCATTGCGTTACAAGAATTATAAGAATTCATACAGCCTCATTTTTAACTAATTAAACCAACATCAAAATGGTCAATTTCCTCCACCTCAAAGAATGAAAAAAAAAAAAAAAAAAAAAAAAAAACTCCAACCTCATCCAGTTTCTCGGTCTGAGATTTTAGTCTGTTCATATTCATTGCCATCTTTCCATTTTCGTCCTCTAGTTGATGTAATCTACCAATGGGGAAAAAAAAAAGGGGGGGGGGGGACTACTGTTATCACACAAGTGCAAACTACTAATGGTCTCATCAATAATGTACTGCTATTACTGTGTATCTAACACCCTTGAGAAAGACCCCTCTGTGTATGTTTCATAATAAAAGTACCCCAACACTGAAAGTAGTACTGTATTCACAGCATGACACAAGTAACATAATTAACATTGTTCATTTAGAAGTAGTGTTGGTCACAGCATCAGCAATACAAACATCAGTTTGTGCTGGAGTGTTGTTAATGTGATGTACCGGTTTCTGAGCAGCTCTATCTGAGTGTTTTTGTCTTTCTCCAGTCGAATGTAGGCATCTCTGTGTCTCCTAAGCTCATCTTCCATGATTTTCTCTGCTCTGGTCTCCTGGTCTTTAAGCTGCTCCTCCAGCTCATGGATCCTGATGAAAAACAGTCCTGATTGTTCATTAGTAGTTCAGTTGTTCAGTAGTTTTGGGGCAACTCTAATAAAAGGTTTTGAGTCACTTCAAATGTTGAGTACCGTGTATATGTTTTAAAATGTGTGCAGAGAGGGTACGCGATTACCTGTGGACCAACTGGATATTTTCCTGTTTCAGCTTGGTTTTTACATCCCCGCTCATCAGAATCTCATTTTCCAGCTCTGTCACTTTCTTGTCCAAGTAACTTACCTGTTTGGTAACAGTTATAAATTATACAAAATGATAAGCAACCACTTTCTCATCAGCACTGAATTAGTAGCTTTTCCTGAAACAACAAGTGTTACAAGTGTTTATGTGCAAAACTTTAGTGATCCTGATCCTTAGCAGAAGCACTTTTCACACAGCCCATGGTTTAACAATGTGCAGCAGCAATGAAACATCAACAATATTTCATGACAGTCTAGAATTATCTATTGTATTAAATATGTTTTGTATTGAATTATGAGGTTGCTACAACATTGTAAATGTAAATGTAATGAAACCCTATGCATACATCTATGCACGGAGATTGTATTTTTAATTCTTTTAAAATTATTTAAAAAAATTCAAAAACAGTTATGAGTACAAGAAATCCACATCTCCACGTATTTAGCTGTAACTTGTGCTTATGTATTTATTGTTATAGTGGTATCATTTTAGACATCAAATGTAGAGTTTCTATTAAATTTTCTATGAATACATTTAATACACAACAAATTTTTAAATGCTCTGAAATATTTTAACATACTTGTAAAATATATATTTCAGCAAATTATACATATTTCAGCATGTCTCTGCATGTTATGAATGGACCTTACCTTCTCTGTAATGTCTAGATCACTGGAGTCAGTGCTATCATGAAACAAATCTTCTGTGCTGCCATTACTACTGCTGATGTTACTATTGTGAAGCAGCTTCCTGTTGGACCCACATTAACGCATGAACACAAAACAAGACAGGAATAACTTAATCATTAATATCATGCTTCCCAATAAGACATTGCAAGGTGGTTACATTTCATTTTATTCTACACCGCACCAGTTCATTTTGTGCACCCTCAGTATTTACATCCCATCCTGCCAGCTATATTTTGCAAGAGGAACTTCCCACTTACCTCTCTGCTCCCTCCTATGGCTGGATTAAACTACACTGCAGCATTAATTCCAGCCAACTATGCTACCCATGCTGCACCCCTGTAGCAGACCACCTTTTTGTTCTTTCCAACACATATGCTTTAGGAGCACTGCAGTGATGAGGGAGAGAAAGAACTTGCCAGTAGAGGCATCGTGGTGCAGTGTCTGAAACAGTCCACCCACCCACACAGAGCCAAACAGTAAGACACATGCGCAGACACAGACACTATGCTCTTGTCCCACTTGAATTAATTTCTGAGAACCACAGAGGGAGACGGGGATGGTTTTTATTTATTGTTTTTACTTTGTTCATGCTAGTTCATTCTAAACAGATATACTGTGAAAAATAAATACTTTGGAATTCAGCGGTTACAGCTTTACAGCATTCTAAAAATGTGTTTTGTGTTTAACAGAACAAAAAACAAAAAAAAAAAACCTCAAACTGGTTTGAAACAAGTCAAGAGTGAATTAATGCCAGGATTTTCATCTATAGGTGAAAATTGTCTTTAAAAGGAAAATGGCCTCACTTTTTACAGTACTCTCTCATGCCAAACATTTAAGTTGTTTTTTTCTGTTAAACACAAAATAATATATATTTTGAAGAAAGTTAAAAATCTGTAAAAATTGACTTCCATAGTAGGAAAAACAAATACTACAGAAGTCAGTGGTTACAGACATCCAGCTTTCTTTAAAATATTTTCTTCTGTCTTCAATAGGTGAATTCCTTACCCATCATCCCTGTACATTAAATTAGCTCTATAACTGTCTTTTCACTCCACCTTCTCCTGGTGTGTGGTGAGCGCACTGTGGCTGCCATGGCAGCATTAAAGTGAATGCTGCACACCTATGCCAGTGTGGAGAGACCCTTTTACACGATTGTAAAGTACTTTGGGTGTATGGCCATACAAAATAAATGCATATTACAGGGTCAACTATCGCATTAATTATAAAGGTACAAGTATGTGCTGTGTCTGCCACATGACTCTACCTGTTCACATGATTGGAGCATGTGTTATATATTATAACACCCACCCCCTTTCTGCCCTAATCTTAAAGGCATGCAGATATAAATTCATGTGACATGTCTGCCTTATTTACACTTTATTTCTCCAAATCTTGTTAAAGCAGTGAATTGAATGAACGAAAGCATTATGAATGAATGAAAATACATTAAACAAATTACACACATCCAGCTCTGTCAGTGGCTCTGCTTTCTTTATCTCTATTCACAGTTCAGCATCTTTTCACTGTGATTTATAGCTGGATATAATAAATGATTTCCAAATGGACATGAATGTTTTTTAGTGCTTAGCTTATCATAGCTCATGATTCATCTTCTGTGCATTTAATTATTTTTAATCAATCATGGGATCTTGACCTCTGATAATCCTTTAACCTTGGAAATTAAACTCTGAAGTTTACAGTGAGTTTTATTGACCATTTTTGTTGTTTAAATGTATATTGTCTAAGTAGGTTATGCAAACTACTGTACAGATCATAATAATGCACTGCCAGTACTGATCTAGAGTACTTACATAAATGCAATTATTTGTAGCTATGTGTTTCTATTCCATTGTAAGATTTTGTTCATCTAGAACTGTTGTCTAAACTAAAATGAGAAAAATGACCATCGAGAAATTACAGATTCATAAAACAAATTACAAAAGCACAGAAGATGATCAGTTGAAGCAGTAAAAGGCATTTGAAAGCTGGCACAATTTGACAAACTAGCATAGTAATGATTAACACAGTAACATAGACTACACAAACAAACACTGAGCAGAGAAATATGGAGTGACCTACCTTCCAAATGCAGTACTGGAGATCTTTCTGTTTGGACTGGAAAACAAACAAGAGAAAGCCAAATAAATGGTCACGCTGATTAAACCCAAGTCTGTCTGATTCACAAATAAGAATTAACAGAGTTAATAATAACTTTAATAACACCATTGAATTGCATCTGTTAATGCAGGCAAAAAATGTACATGCATCAAGAAACTAATATAAACTTTAGGGCTGCACAATATATCGTATGAGCAGCGATATCACAATGTGTGTATTTGCAATAGTCACATCACAGGACTAGATTATTTATTAAAGGTTAAAAGGTATTATTAAATATTACTATTAGAATGATTTAAACAGTAATGACCATGCCATTTTACATTTGATTGTTCAATTTCTGATGACTGTCCAGAAAACCATAAAGCAATGTTTATTTATTTATCTTTTATTTTTGCCCTGTTGTGTTTATATGCTTGTAGCTTATTGTATTTTCTGCAGCCGCACTGCATAGAAAAAGACTTGATCATCCCTGTCAATCTAAATGAACAATTTATTTCCAAATAGAGCTAATCAAATTATCTGATGAAATGATATTCATATTGCAATATATGTCACAATGTCAGATTTTTCCAATATCATGCAGCCCTAATATACATTAGTGTAATGTACTGTCCAATCAAACTCTTTTTATCAAAAAAATTGTAGACGCACAACTTTCGCTGCTAACGTACACAAACGCACACAGAGTAATTGCTGACACCACCTTTTCCAGCAAGTAACAGAACAAGGCATTTCTTTAAGCAGTCTGCTGACAGTGCATTTAGCTTTCATTCCTCCATTCTATTCCACAGATCATCCTTTCATTTTTCTCCTTCCTCCTCTTCTACCTCCTGTCTGACTTTCCTGAGGCTAAGATTTGTCAGGTTAATTAAATATGTGAACATAAAGTAAAAGTAAACTCACTGAATCTTGGAAACCAGCAGGGGTGAAGAAAAGAAAGAAGAAGATCTGGTTGAATCTCCTGATTCTCTACAAATAATCAGTATCCAAAGCATGCCTGTTTGTTCATGTGCGGATGTAGATGCAGACAGATGCGGAGAAAGAGAAATGACGTAGAAAGATGCAGAAACAGAGACATGACAAATTAAAGACTGCATAGAGACAGATTAGCATAGGGATGTGTGTGTAGCTCACTTCCAGATCTCTAATAAGGCTAATAAAAAATAAATAATGAAGTAAGTAAATAAATAAATAATAGGTTCTAAAGTCGTGGGCTGAATTATCTAGGGAAAAGGGAGCAAATTGTTAGAGGTACAGAGAGACTGCAGCAAGATCTCAGAGTCCCTCTACTTTAGAGGTGTTAACAGTGTCTCATCCTCACATTAACTCTTTGAGGAACACCTTAAAGAACAAATAATTTAAATGAATCCAAGTGTGCCTCTGATGTGGATTCCAGCAGAATAAGGTGTATTTCCCAGCTCTATGAGGTCACTCATTTTACATGACTGAAGAGAAACTAGAAAAGTCTTTTTGAATATGAACTTAAAGCAGCAACAACAGCATTCAACTAAAAAGCACATTTTAACACAATATAAACTGGCCCAATGTGCTGTATTTGTCCACTTAAAAATGTCCAGTAATAGAGCAGATCTCGGAAGATATGGGGAGACTTTTCCAAGGCTTGTGGCCAACCACAGAAACAGCCACATCACCTTTTGATTTCAAATGACACCAACATGGAACAAAACCAGGTGACCCTAGATCAGTACAGAAAGTGCCCTAGCTCAGAGATTTAACTTGGTGCACAACCAATGCCTTATACACAACATTTGACAAACCACTCTAGATGCAAAATAATTTTACAACTCTATATTTCATAAGAGATTAACTGTATCAGTACCTGCTGGTTTTGAGATTTTTCAGCCTGTTCTCCAGGTCACTGAGCAGACTGACCCTTTTACAACACTGAGAGCAAAACACCTCCATTTGGTCATCCACATTGTGGATCTTTCGAGGAGTTTGACCAGCACTGGTTGATGGAAGGAAGGAAAGAAAGAAAAAAGTAAGAGATAAAAAAAGGTCAAACATATGGCATATCAAATGTGCATTTTTTAAAAACATTTAGTAAAAATATAAGCAATTGTAAGAAACACACCAAGAAATAGTTTCTACAAACTAAAACTAGAAGCAAGAACCCCTTTACAGTGAATTTTGAACAAATCTACTCATCACAGAAGCGTCAGGCAGATTCTCAGCAGTTAGTTTTGCCTATTATTTTAGCACATTTTAACTAGAGCTTCTAAATGAAATTTAGATATGTTCACAATCAATTTAAGCACTTACAATAGATGCAGCCACTATTATGCATGACCAATATCCTTGTGAGTTAGTTGTATTAAGTAGTAGTAACTTGTAAAGCTCCACAAACATCCACATTTAAGCAAAGAAAAAATAAAAAAATAAAAACATTTCTCTTCTGGGATATAATTTGAATACAGAATAGATTAGTGTTCCATTAATTTAAACTTTGCACAAGCATCTATTTTATTTATACAGTGCATCCGGAAAGTATTCATGGCGCTTCACTTTTTTTTTACAGCTCTATTACAAAATGGATTAAATTCATTTATTTCCTACAATTTTACACACAATACCCCAGAATGACAATGTGAAAAAAAAGTTTTTTTGAAATAGTTGCAAATTTATGAAAAATAAAAAACCTGAAAAATCACATGTACAGAAGCATTCACAGCCTTTGCCGTAAAGCTGTAAATTGAGATCAGGTACATTCTGTTTCCACTGATCACTCCTGAAATGTTCACCTGTGGTAAATTCAGTTGATTAGACATAATTTGAAAAGGCATACACCTGTCTATATAAGGTCCCAGGGTTGACAAGATTGCCTCGAGGTACAAGGGTGGAGAATATTACAGAAAAATTTCTGCTGCTCTAAAAGTTCCAATGAGCATAGTGGCCTCCATCATCCATAAGTGCAAGATGTTTGGAACCACCAGGACTCTTCCTACAGCTGGCCTGCCATCTAAGCTGAGTGGGAGAAGGACCTTAGTCAGGGAGGTAATCAATAACCTGATGGTCACACTGTCTGAGCTCCAGCGTTTTTTTGTGTAGAGAGGAGAACCTGTAGAGAAGGACAACCATCTGTGCAGCAATCCACCAATCAGGCCTGTAGGGTAGAGTGGCCAGACGGAAGCCACTCCCCGCCCAGAATTTTAGATAATAAGAAACAAAAATCTCTGTTTTTTTTTTTTTTTTTAAATTGAACTCTTTGGGGTGAATGCCAGGCATTACATTTGGAGAAAACCAGTCACCGCTCATCACCAGGCTAATACCATCCCTACAGTAGAGCATGGGGGGGGGGCAGCATCATGCTGTGGGGATGTTTTTCAGTAAGACTAGTCAGGATAGAGGGAAAGTTGAATGCAGCAACGTACAGAGACACCCTAAATGAAAACCTGCTTCAGAGTGCTCTTAAACTCAGACTGGGGCGATGGTTCATTTAGCCAGAGCCCAGACATAAATCCTATTGAACATCTCTGAAGAGATCTGAAAACGGCTGTACATCGTCACTTCCTATCCAACCTGAAAGAGCTTGAGAGGTACTGCAATGAGGAATGGGCAAAATCTCCCAAAGACAAGTGTGCCAAGCCTGCGGCATCATAATGAAAAAGACTTGAGGCTGTAATTGCTGCCAAAGGTGCATCAACAAAGTATTGAGGCTGTGAATACTTATTGTCACCTTAGAACAAAGATATTGAGCTTCAAAGTTCTTGCATTCCATAAAGCAAGCAATATGTGTTTAACATTTCTGTTTTATACATAAACATGACAGAGACCCTAAATATACTCTACATGTAAATTATCAAAGATCTCTTACATTTGCAAAATGGAGTAAAAAAAAAACATGGTAAATGCAGATGGACCCTTCTAATTCTGAAATGTTGTTTTCCACTTGAAATAATCTGGCAGATCATTTATTGAAGCATTATTTTTAAAGAAATACAATCCAAAAAATTATAAGTGTTGTAACAATATGTTAATGCTCGAGAAAGTTACACTTTTGCTTTCTATAACATTTATTTAATGTTTTAGGATGAATATTTTTCTTGTTCAAATTAAGCATACAAGGCTGTGCTAAATACTTTGTCCAGTGCAGATGTTAATTTTATGTGATTAATATGGTAATATTTATTGAATTTTATGGTTTATGTGAATGATTGAATTATATTTATTGATGTGCCATGAATTATTATAAGTATTTGCCCTTAAATGTTTAATATCACATTTAAAGACATAAAAAAAGACAATGAGCAAATGAGTTTAATGAACACTGAAAATTTTTTCACTGACTATATTTACAAAAATAAAATTTAATAAAAAAATATTAAATACATTTAATAAAAAAAAAACGTATTATTCGTTTTTTTTATCAACAATGTAAAATTTAACATTTCATCTCAATGTCATAAAATGCTTCTAAATCATCAGATTTACACACATCCCAATTTTGTGTGGTGCAGCATTATTTAGTTGACTGTGATTTTGTCTTTCTGGTCTTTCCCCAGTCAATGGAGCAATCCGGCAAAATGACAAAGAAGCTAATCCTGACTGATCTTTGTACGCGCATTAAAATGCTAATTGGTTCGCAGAAAGCACTTCATAGAGCCAATCTACAGTTTGACTTTGTAAATAAATTGTTTTTTTAAATAAAAAGTCTTAAAATGTAAACACCTTTATAAAAAACATCAGATAATGTAAATAATTTGTCATTTAATAAGAATATGTGAATAACTCAATTGACAAAAATGTCAAATAGAACCTTATAATTCTAACGTGACGTTATGTAGATTTGATTTTTCAGGTTTTTATTTTTAATAAATTGGCAACAATTTAAAAAAAATATTTTTTACATCGTCATTATGGGGTATTGTGTGTAGAATTGAGGAAATCAATTAATTTAATCCATTTTGGAATAAGGCTGTAACATAAACAAATGTGGAAAAAGTGAGGTACTATGAATTCTTTCCGGGTGCACTGTATGTTAAATAAAAATAAGACAAATTAACTGACCAGACAGCAAAAGCAAAATGTTTTCATTTAAAAAAAATTAATTAATACGACAAGATGGTGGTGTTGGGAAAAGGTTAACATTTGAAAAACGTAAACTGCATTTTTACAAAATAAATGAAAAATGTGTACTCTGTGCTATGTAAAAGGTGCAGCAGGTGATTGTCTTCAAAAGCATTTTTTGTTGTGCTGGTTGAAAGTCTCTTCATAGTCCAATAGTAATGATTACAGTAAATGATCTAAACGTGTGTATATGTATTTTTATATTCGGGGTAAGGCATAAAACTAAAAAATGTTCATCTAATAAAATATTGTCGGACCGACATCACTCATAATTCCAATTAGCAGCTCAAACTGTTTGTCAGCAAATGTAGAGTCGGACTTCTGCGCATCTGTTCATTCGCGCGTGCCTGTCTGCATAAGTGCCGCGCGGTCACGAGACATACACAGACCGGGAGATATCAAATGCTGAATTGAAACTTTTAAAAACCTGACTCAATATTGGAGTTACTTTAGCACGATGGAGGAAGGACAACACCATGGCTAAAGTATTACTGTTAATGTCAAAATACAGGTAATATTCTGTTTTAAACTATTTTAGTCTGGCTAAGCTTATGTTAGGTTGTTTTCTATTATGAATGACTTAAGGTGCTTTCACACCTGCCATATTTAGTTCGATTGAATCGCACTAGAGTTCGTTTCCCCTTTTGGTACGGTTCGTTTGGGTAGGTGAGAATGCAGCAATCATACTCGAGTGCGCACCAAAAGCGGACCAAATAAGTGACCGAGACTTGCTTGAAGAGGTGGTCTCGGTACGCTTTCAAACGAACCCTGGAGCGGTTTGTTTGTGGTGAGAATATGATCCGTACTAAAACAGGTCCAACCGCAAAAAGTACTGCGCGTTTTGGACTAATTTAGCTGCCGTAAACCGATGCGCTGTGCATTATGGGATATGGAGGAAAAATATTTGTTGACACCGCATTACCAACAAAGAGAGAGAGAGAGAGAGAGAGAGAGGGGAAAACATTACCTGATGGATCGTTGGTAATATTTCCGCAAGATGACCTTGTCGCAGTTTAGCTAAATTAATTCACGTCCTATCCTGAAGTGACAAGCAATACATTAAACACTGTTTTCCAGCCACGGCCGCGCTTCATTTTCAAAATGTATAGTTTGTCTAAAGCAGGGCCACAATCAGCCAGCGCAGTCATCCCTCCAGAGTAAAAGGTTTTGTTTACCTGCGGGAGTTCACTGGCATTTTCCCGCACGTGTATTCTGACCAATCAATAAGCAGTTTAGGTAATATGTTCAACAACATCTGGCCAATGAGAGATGTGGATTTTGTCAGATGACTGCATTTTGGTTCGTTTCAACTGGTTCGGACCAAAGCCAGCAGTGTGGTGTGAAAACGACCCAAAGACGGCAGAAGATGCAACAATGTAACTAGGGATGCTCATTTCGGTTAATTTTGCTAACCGACAACCGCCGCTCATTAATCGGTTATTAACGGTTAACTGGTCAGATTACTATTAATTTTATATTAAAAAAATTGACCTGACTATTTTGTGTCCGACAAATTAAATATTGCATTTTAAAATACTGATTTATTTTTGTATGCTAGCATATTAATATTAATAACATAACAACAGAGCATTTTCACGCACCTGTAGTGTTAAGCACAGAAGAACAGAATAAACTAAATAAAATTAATAAATTAAATAGGACTGCCCTTAATTATTTTCCACTTAAATAATTAATTTATATTACA